ATCACGTGACCCGTACATTGTTTGCCATGGCTAGGGTACTTATAACTTTCTTGATGCGGATCTATACTTAATTGGGGTTAGTCACTATTTTAGATAGGATTTGCATCAATAATGTAACTATTTCTGCGCGGTTTCAAACACAATACTCGCTCACTACATTAAACTGCTAGGATAAGACCTGATTGGTCTGACGAATTATTAGAGTGATTGTTTTGATTTATTGAGGGTTCATTCTGCATTATTATGTAAGAAGGATTTAATGAATATGTATCAAACCCATTAGATTATCTCAAAACCCATTAGATTATCATCTAATTACTAGCCTGAACCTACTGAAACATGCCATTTGTCATTGTTGTGTAGTATTAAAAATAAATCTTCCGTTTCAAAAATGATATAGTTAATTTGTCTAATGAGCTGTCTGTCAGATAATTGCATTGTCAAATAACCTGTTACATTATCAAAAAGTTTTAGGGTATGGGGTTCTCTCTTCTGCATAGAGTCACATATTGGTCTCTAAGTTCTTAACTAGTTATGGACCAGACTTTTTAAGGACTTAACCAGGACTCGATCGGACCGGACTTTTAGGTGTCCAGTGTACTATGTAGATCAAATTTATGTATAAATTTTTTGTGCAGTACGTATCGGTACGTACGTACGTATAATGATCACAATTACGTATCTATAGAAAATGCTAAAAACTATTTGAGTGAAGTTATTTGCGGCTGCAGTTACAAAAACCTCAAATTTTTCAAATAAAAATAATTCAAAATTTTCCCTAAGAAATATTCCTTGCATAATTTTACATATACTACGTATACCTAAATACAATTACTGTATAAATAAGGTCTGAATATTGCCGGTGACAAATAGACCATTTCAAGAAATTAAATAGAATTTTTTTTTTAAAAAAAACGTTTTATTAGTTTAAAATAAGGTTCTGCTGAGCAATTGAACAAAATTTTCAGAGTTGCCAGGTTCAGGTTTTTTGACCTAAATTATCACGACCTTTTTTTCTAGCCAATCAGATCACTTTATAAATCATAGTGGAGAACAACCTTAATCTGGTTCCCCAACTCAGTGCAACTATTTTCTTGTTAAAAGAGTACAATTGATCAAGTTATAACGAATTCAAAATGGCAGTAAAGTTGTTCGAAAAGCTTTCAAATGATTACCTTGAACTTCTTGATAATAAAGAAGATTTTAACGTAATTATTAATATTGGGCAATCAGCAAACACAAAGATATTCCATGCACATTCGAATATTTTAAGATGTAGATCTTTGTATTTTTGTAACGAATTAGCAAAAATCAACGAAGATAAACATAACGTTAAAATCATTAGTTTCAAACATGTTTCTATTCAGCAATTTGAAATAATTATTAGGTAAATATATATCTTTGGTGAAATAGTAAAATCAGTCCTTTATTTAAATGCCTAAATCTATATATTATAGATAAGTTAGATTTAGGGATCTAAATAACAGGACTAATTTTATAGATTCATGGAAATAATAGTTATTCAGATTAATATCAATATTTTTATGATACATATACTAATTTTAATCACTAAACTTACTAATTTTGGTAAAGATATATTTATGGAGGAACAGCTTTGTTAGAAAATCAAGATGCATCATTTATTTTTGATCTCATGCTTATTGCTTCAGAGTTTCTTCTTGATGAATTATCACAATATCTTGAGAGTCTGTTAATTGAAAAAAATGCACACTGGCTCCGCTTATACTTTACACGTATCTATCATAAAAGTTTTCAAAACGAAAAGCTTCAAGAATTACAGAAATGGTGCAATAATATTATGGCAAAGTATCCTGAGAAAGTTTTTGACTCAGAAGAGTTTACACCACTTCCAGAAAATGCATTAATCTCGCTCATTAAGCGAGATGATTTACAAATGGATGAAGGGAAAATTTGGGAATATGTTATTAGATGGGGAATTGCTCAAAGCACTGATTTACCTTCTGAACTTGAAGATTGGTCTCGTGAAAATTTTCTTACTTTAAAGACCACCTTAAAGAATTGTTTACCTTTTATCCGTTATTTTCAAATATCTAATGAAGATATTGTTGATAAAGTGAAACCTTACAAAAAAATTCTTGAAAAAAGCCTTTGGGATGATATATTCAAAAGACTTGCTGTTCCGGATAGACAAATATCATCATTAATTCTTCCGCCCCGCAAGATTTCAATACCAAAATTATCACCTAGAGTAATTAATCCACCTCGCAAGATTTCAACCCCAACATTATCACCAAGAGTAATTAATCCACCTCGCAAAATTTTAACACAAACATTACCATCTAGGGTAATTAATCCATTTTTTTCAACAGTCATTAATGAAGCATATGCAGCTCAAATTGCTACATGGGTTGATAGAAAAGTTGATATATATTCAGTATCAGACAATCCATATGAATTTAAATTACTTCTTCGTGGAAGCAGGGATGGTTTTACCGTTGATACGTTTTGGAAATTATGTGATAAGAAAGAAAATATTGTTTTAATTATAAAGGTTAAAGATAGTGATGAAATTCTTGGTGGCTATAATCCTGTTGGATGGAATGGATCACTTCATAATTTTGTAGGTTGCAAAGATAGCATCATTTTTTCATTAAAAAATGGTATTATTCAATCCTCTATTGTAAGTCGTGTAAAAAACATAGATTATGCAATTTATTGTGATAGAAGCTACTTTAATGGTCCAGTGTTTGGTGGTAGTAATTTTAATCTACATGATCTTTATTTGGGGGGATTTGATTTCAGTCGTGGTAGTTGTTATAGTTATCATCATGCATATGAAAAAGGAATTAGAAGAATAGAGGGCATATCTTACTTTTTAGTGTCTGAATATGAAGTTTTCCAACTTCGAAAAAAGTATACAATCTAATAAGTATTCAGTGTGTATTATAGGATCCCAAAGAATCTATATAAAGGTTATATTACTACGCCATATGGCGTCCCACTAGTGGGGTTAAAAAATTTTTTGCAAATTTTAGTTACATACATACTTTAATATTAATTTATTTTGTTCGATTTTTAAATATACCTTTTGTTTTTCTTTCTGCCTCTCCTTTTCTCTTTTTTATTCAGATATCCAAATTTTAAATATACCGTTGCATACAGTATCCTCCGAAAATAATATCCTACCACATGAAGTATCTCTTCTCCACCAATGAGATTGCTGGATTCGTGAATAGCACCCTGTACTATTCAATTTTAAAATAAAGTTCTTGAATAACGATAAAATCCCTGGTATGTATGCAGTGGCCAACGGTAGCATATCGATATGGATTATTTATCAAAGTATTTAAATCAGCCAATGCAATAATTATTTGGCAAAGATTGTTATACTGCGTAGTTGTTGTGATATACTGTATATTGCATAATGTCTCAATCATTTCATTATAGTATATAAGGACTATATAAAGATCGTTACGTTAGTTAAGAAAAGATCTGTACGTACGTATACAGTCGATACTACCTAAATGCAAAAAAAAAATTAATTTTATGCATTATGCATTTAGCAGTATGCAGTATGCATTTAGGCAGTATCGACTGTAATATGATTCCTAACACCTTAATGTTAAGCGCAAGATGTGAACAAAATCCTTCAAATTTTCATTTTTAACTTTAATCAAAGATTTCTCGAAAATTACTAATGAAATTTTTTTAAAAATGTATAGATCGAAGTTAGCGGGATTTTTATTTTGACAATAGCTCATATAATATTTAAAAAAAATAAAAAAAAAATAAAAAAAAAAAAAAAAAAAAAAAGGTATATTTACATGTAAAATTTCGTGCTGAACATTTTTGCTTAGAAGCAGAAAGGTGATTGTCTTAATAAAATTTTAAGATATTTACAATTTTTGATTTTTTTTTGATTTTTTGATGATATCTCATAATTTTACTAAAACATCCATTTTTTAGCTTTTAAGTAAAAATTTTTAGCATAAAATTTTACGTATACGTAGGTGCAAAAAATTTTTGTAAATATCTTTAATTTTGGTTACTTTTTTTGCATTCGTTCATTACGCAAAAATTGATGATCTGATTGGTCAAGTCGAATAGCGAAAAATAAGTTACCGTTACTTTAAAAATTTTTATTGAATCTTATTATGGGAAATCTTCAGTTAAAGATCGTCAATCGATCTGCTGAATTTTAAACCCTAATGATAATTAAATATCGGGTAATCTCGTGAGGTGACAGAATTTAACGATCGCCGTCGCGCATATATATACGCATATCGATATGCTATGTTTTATGTACTATAGTACTGTACGTAGTATTTCAGGTAATATTAAGACGATAATTCCAAACAGAGTGTAGGATAAAATAACGGAATACTGTATAAAGATTGTTACAAAATCATATAGCAACATCTAATTTCCGAAATATGACAATGGATGGCGTGAAAATTTTGATCCAGGATCGATCCTATCTATCGTTTTAGAATGAAATTCATGAATCCTTGCAACTAGTGATGCGGTAGAATCGTCCCCTATGATTGTCGTAACTTGTCGTAACTATAGTAAGTAATCGGCTGTAATCGTAATGCCGTAACTTACTATATTACTTACTATAGTTACGGCAAGTTACGACAATCATTGGGACGATTCTACTGCATCACTACTTGCAACATGAGACTTACCATTAAGGCTAAACTGTCTTTATGTCATTGAAATTCTAAAATATGATTTGAGTCATTAACTACGTAGGTGCAGTAGCATTTATTATATATTTACGTACGTACGTACGTACATAATTTGAAAGATCGGGAATTGGTGCAATTTGCTCTATTAGCTGTAACATTTGTAAATAACAAATGTTGAATAGAGCAATTTTTAGATGTACGTACGTACGTGCGTGCTAATGCATACATACATGTGCTACGTGTTACAGTCATAAAAAAAACATATGAAAAGAGCCACCGTTTCTCTCAAATCGAACTTTAAGCAATTTAAACTTGATTCAATTTAAAATGCCTAGTTTACAAATTCTTCATTTTAATGATGTATATCATCTCTTGTCACAAAAGCATGAACCTGTTGGTGGTGCTGCTCGGTTTGCTACGGTGGTCAAAGAATTTCGTAAAAATTATGGTATTGAAAACTCTTACGTGTTCTTTAGCGGCGATGCTTTTAATCCATCAGTTGAAAGTAGCATTAGTAAAGGATTGCACATGGTATCCTTCGATTTCGATTATCGATCCCCTTTTTTTAATTATTGTTGATTAATAAATCAACTACAAATTATGGTTATTTTTTAAATTAGGTACCATCATTGAATGATTTCGGACTTGATGCGGCTTGTCTTGGAAATCATGATTTCGATTTTGGATTACCAACTCTTAAAGGGTTGATTTCACTGACTAATTTCCCTTGGCTTCTCTCTAATGTTGTTGATTCGAAAACTGATGAATCTCCAGCCGGAAGTAAAAAATTTGTGGTTCTGGAAAAGGGTGGACTCAAACTTGGAATTGTAGGATTGGTTGAAAAGTAAAATTATAATCATAATATATATTTTTTTTTAAATGTTTACCCAATCATTTGATTAATTTCTATTTATGAAACAATTTTAATTTTCTAGAGAATGGCTTGAAACCATTCCTAATCTTCCATCAGATATTCAATATAAAGATTTTGTAAGTGTTGGAAAAGAACTTTCTACACAATTGCGTGACCCCAACGGTCCTCACGCTGTTGACCTTGTTATTGCTCTCACACACTGTCGGCTACCGAATGACATTCTACTTGCTAAACAATGTAAAAATGATATTGATTTGTTTCTTGGAGGGTAATTTATTCAAATGATTATCAAAATTGTTTATTTTAATTATATATTAAATTTGCTTCATGTAATTTACAAAATTTTTTCAAATAGACACGATCATTTTTATTACATTGGTAAAGGATGTGATGTTATTAATGGATGGTCTAGAGATGAAGGAGAAACAGATGATTCTAAGGATGATGATGGCGTACGAGTCGTGAAGAGTGGAACTGACTTCAGAGAATTAAGTATCGTGGAACTTGATATTGATGAAACAACCAATGAAGAAGGACGAACCCATAAAAGAATACAAACTATAACTGGTTTGTTATTATTATCCATTTTAACGATTTGAGTTTAATCAGTCTGATGAAAAAAGTTTTCATAATAAATTTATTATAATTTATAGTGACACGACGAGAAGTTACCTCATCTATTGTTGAAGATGAACACCATGCAAATTTGGTTGCTTCAGAAACATCGGAAATGAGGGCAAAAATGTCAAAGCCAATAGCTTACACCATGACACACTGGGATTGTCGTTCTTCAACGCTTCGTACACAAGAG